TTACTTGTTTATTTAGGGCATAGGCATTCCACCGGCAAAAGCTCAATTGCGGAAGCAGTCCAGTTTTAAAAAGTAATAAATATACGACACAATCATGAAAAGCCTAACCAAACACCCACCCACACCCACACGCACCCACCCACCCACCCACCCACTCACCACACACACACACACACACACACACACACACACACACACGCACACGCACACGCACACGCACACGCACACGCACACGCACACGCACACACACACACACACACACGCACACACACACACACACACACACACACACACACACACACACACACACACACACACACACACACACACACACACGCACACTCTTATACACATTACACACAGTCACACAGACAACTTACACACCCAGACACAACGATACAACACGCCGGTCATCAAGAAAATGCTCCACGTGTGCCGGCGAACCTAAGCAAATCAGATCGGAATTATTTTGTTGGATAGAAAAAGTCAGTTGAGGGAGATTGCTGCAAAACATGATTGCAGACAACGGGCAGTCGTGCGACAAAACAATTTTTAACAGTGTTGGCCCGTGCCAATGGCTCGTGAAAAAGGCCAGTGTATCGAGAACGTTAGACGGGTGTAGCCAGACCGAACAGTGATGCCAGGTGAGCACAGTCAAACCTGTGATGATATACGCTGTACAGAAACAGCATGTCAGACTGAGGGAAGCGTGTTTTGATAGGCGCTGTTTTGAAGTAAGCTGAGGCTGATATAAATATGAATGAATAAATATGAATATAAATATGAATGATATAAATATGAATGAAGTGACCCAGCTGAGGACACCGGGACTGGTTACTCGAACCCAACCACATGAAAAACAGGTGCTATACCCTTTCGAACCGGACGAGATGGGAAACGGTAGCACCATTCCAAATAACGCTACGGTGCGTTATCATTGATCTCAAATGAGAGTGGTATTAGCCTTATTCCTCAGAAAAAAAACAGGAGGAAATAGATATAGTTGAGTTTATATGTCAGCAACATGCCTTTATCGAAACAATAGCAGAAGTGAATGCTGCGTGCTTTTTGGACCCCTTCTTGTGGATTGGTATTACAGTCACTTGCTTCTACATGACAGGGCAGACGCCAGAGTTTAGAAAAAAACTTGCATAGTATTTCTAACGGAACAGCTAGCTCCTCAGCACATTTCCTGAGAATCCGCGCACTGGCCTGTCGGGACTGCAGGCCTTGTGTGCACTGAGATCGCGTAACAGGTGGACTATACGGCCATGTGGCACGGTAAAGCTGCCCCATCCAGGCGCAGCGAGCAAAGCAGGGTCAGGTGATATACGTCCATTAGGGTCGCAGAACTCACCAGGCAAAACACATCTCCAGACGGTTGGCACGCTCCTCATCACCTTTGTAAACTTTCCCATCGCACTCAAGAACGAAAGATATGTACGCTGAGGACTTCAAGGACTTAACAAAGGACCAATAGCCTTTAGGATTGTCCTTAAAGTCTCGCATTAGACCCTACAAATACTCGCAATAGTTAGCATCAGGTGCTATTCTAGAGTTGGCTCTAGTAGTATGGTGCCTAAAAGTGTTTGCGGCGGTCGGAGGCACTTTCCCACGTCTGTGAGCCATCTCCTTGTCACGCAGCAGGTCTCGAACGGGCCGGTCAAACCGTGGTGGAAATTTATGTAAGTTGTTCAGTGGGTTAACGAGGAGCATTATTCATATAGATAAGACAACAGCACTGGCCTTATTCACCTGAGAGAAACCAGGAGAATGGAGATATAGCTGGGTTTATATTCGGCAACATGCCTTTATCTAAATAAGAGCAGAAAGAATCCACAGGATTTTCACTTATGCTATTGTTTCGATAAACGAATGTTGCCGAAATATCAACCCAACTATATTTCCATTCTCTTGGTTTTTCTCCGAGAAATAAGGCTAATACTACTGTCTTATCCATGGAGGACATTTCTTTCGGAGCTCAACAACAGGTACGAAGTCCGCAGTGGTGGCGAACATAAGATCACAGAACAGGCTGACAGCATCATCAACATTTAAATCATTTAGAATGCGCCAAGAAATGAGCCAGAGAGCTGAGCGCAGACCGTTGAAGCCTGCCTGTTTGTAACTGTAAGCGTTAGATCGGGAAGCGCGGGGGGCCGGCCCACATTATACAGAATGCTGAGTCGTCACCATACGGTGGTCTGAGTTGAATATACCGCCGACCTCAGAGGCAGCAGCTCCGCCATAGGAGATGGCGAGGTCCAGGATGCTCTCCCCGCACGCTCTCCCTCCCCCCCCCCCCCCCCCCACCGATATTCTCCCTGAGATTGTACATATAACGTGTTTTTCTGTCCTTTGGCAACAGTCTGTGATGTTGGGCTTTTTCAATGTCCTAACATTTCAGTGTGAAAACCCTGAAAGTCCGGTTCATTCTCGTAACTCAATGATGGCCAGCTTCTTTGCCGTTGTCCCACTGTCTTGACAGTTGTTTTTTCCATTGACCAGATTCGTAACACCCACTGTGGGGAGGAATCTTACTAGACGATTGCGGCTCCGTTGTATGTGCTTACCACGCCGGGGATTCCTTCTGCTGGGTTAAGCGAGAGCAAGGTTGCCTTGAGTTGATAAATTTTCGGAGCGTAGCGCCAGCTGCTAAATGGTTTGCCTTGCGCATTGATAGTGTCTCAGGTATTATTATGTTATATATTGTATAATTGTACCTCAAGAAGCGCCATTGTGGCATATTTTGCGCGGCATGGCATCGCAACTAGAGCTGCCACTTTTTGATGGTTTGAAAACCCGCCCACCCCATAGACCAAATTCAAAACCCTGCCCGTCCGTATTCTTTTTTAAGCGAGCTTAAACCCACAAATCTTATTGACATTTGAGCAGTGTGATTTCAGACTTACAGGCTCAATTTCAATCATTGTAAAAACTAATCCATAATAGTTGGAACATCTGGATTATTAAGATTAAAGGAAACACCACAGGAGTACTCTCATATGGCATATGGCTCATACATATGGTTCATTCGCACCAGAAACATTCTCTGAGTAAAGCCAATATCTCGCTAAGACAAAAGCCTGTATTCGGATCCAATCTGGAAGCATGTGGTATGAGCTAAGCAAGTATCCTAGGTCCGGACCCAAGATCTGACTTAGATACAGTGCTCCACTTCCAGATGTAGATAACTATTGTCTCTGACAAGTGATGTGAAACCGATAGTAATAGGGAAACATGACCAGGGAAATGTACGAACAGAGTACGACAAATGTTTGCTGACAGATGTGGAGATAATTTTATTAAAAAATGAAAGCCCAAAATGATTCACGATAATGACGCATGGAAGTTAAGCATGAAAGAGTCGAGAATGGCGTACTGGCGCGTCTCCAGGGTGTGTAGTTCTAAAGGTTATTCCGCACTATTAAAATATACTGAAATGGTTGATGATTTTCGGGCTCATTTCAGGATGCGTTCTGACTAGGCATATCATTAAGACGCTGATTGCATGATGCAGCTGGCTATTTGATACCTGCTTTTTCAAGTCCTGATGAGTACGGGTATTACGATCTGGCAATAATGACCAAAATGTGCAGGTTGCGATGATGCTCAAATTTTGGAATCAGGGAGAATACCACCCCCGCCGGCTTTTGTAGCGGCATACGACTGTCCTGAGTTGCTATCAAGCAAAACAGAGTTCTTTACTTTTAGATCCCGGTAGCTTGTGACATGGCCACAACAACTGTCCCGTCTACAAAACCGAATAACATGAAAACTCGGTGCTGCGTCTCATTTCAGTTGGCTGCCACGTGATGTCTCCACTCGTAAACATTGCTTTCATGGGATCACAGGGCTTTTCGCCGACGATTGTGAGTGCTCCTGGTGGTGAAGCTGTCCATTGTAAATTTTGACCTATTGCTTCTTTAACCTGACTGGATAGTAGGCACTTTGAACAGCATGCTTTGTATCAAAATAGTGTTTTGGTATCCATAGGCATGCACATGCGAGTACATGCCTTCATGCACTCGCAGTGCCTCGCAGTGCCTTCATGCACTCCAGTGCCTCATGCCTTCACCAGCAAAATAAATGTCCAACTGGGCGAGAGATAGCCTTAGGAAGTGTTGATGTCGGAAACATGCATTAACTTATAAACATTTGCTTTTTTATTCATGACAAGCAACGTTAAATAAAACAGTAAAAGTACCATCAGCAACGTAAGCTTTAGCTCATTAAATGATCCCAAGCCGTTTTCCAGCAATGCAACTGCTGTCGACACGAGCATAAAAGGAAACATCTACTCCGGTTACGCAGCCCACCCAGAACGAAAACCAATTAATACCCTTTGTGTTGGGCGTGGGGAATTTTTACTGATGACTTCTTGGTCGTGGTCTGCACGATTGCATGATGTGATTGTATGATGTGGCCGTGTGAAGACGCATTAGACACAGGTTATCCGGGAAAAGTGAGGCAAGCAATAACTGGGTTCAGATCGCTTCGTGACATATGCATTCATTTCAGCTCAGATCAGATTAAATCCAGCCTTGGAACTCATATATCCGGGGGCTTCCTTCACTTCGACCTTAGTGACCTTTCGAGTTGACCTACCATAGTTGTTAGTTGCTACCTTCCCATTCATCGTTTGGTCATCCAAGCGTATAATCTTCGAAGGGCGTTCCGTTTTACTGGCTGCTCCAATCATGAATGAGTTATGGCCAAGAGAGAATGGCATGCAATGCATAATCACCTCTGAATATACAGCACGTGTTCGGGACAATTTGCATGTCTGTCCTCATCACATCTGCTGTCTCTACCCGACCCTGCCACGAGGCTGCAGGCGTGACGTCGCAGCCTGCGCCGGTGGGGCGCGCAGGACCTGCCAGCCTCTCCGTCACCTCCCTCCCCTCTCCCCGTCCGTGTCGATGCGCTCTCCGTCGGCGCCGTCGGTCGCAGCCTCCGGCGGCGCCGAGCGCGGCAGTGCGCGACCATGGACGGCTCGGGCTGCGTCTCCTGTCCGGCGGCAGCGCCGAACGCCAGCAGGCACGGCCAGGGCGTGGCCTTCGCGTACGACGACCCGGAGGAGATGCTCAAGCCGTGGCGGTTCATACCGCAGTTCGTGCCCGTCATCGTGACGCACGGCATCACATTTGTGCTGGGCGTCATTGGCAACACGCTCATCATCATCGCACTCAAGAGGGACACGCGCACTCGCAGCGCCACCAGGTCAGTCGAGGACAGGGACGACTGGTTAGTCGAGGATGGGAGCGACAGGTCAGTCGAGGACAGGGACGACAGGTCAGTCGATGACAGGGACAACTGGTTAGTCAAGGATGGGAGCGACAGGTCAGTCGAGGACAGGGACGACAGGTCAGTCGAGGACAGGGACGACTGGTTAGTCGAGGATGGGAGCGACAGGTCAGTCGAGGACAGGGACGACAGGTCAGTCGAGGACAGGGACGACAGGTCAGTCGAGGATGGGAGCGACAGGTCAGTCGAGGACAGGGATGACAGGTCAGTCGAGAACAGGGACGACTGGTTAGTCGATCTCCTGGGACGCGATCTTCGGGCGTTGGGGAAGGGAGGCACAGAATACAGCTCCCACAACTTCGATTCAACCTAGCTTTACCCATTTAAATCAGCAGACGAATCTAGCGCACGTCTCATCATGAGGCGTTTGTGCGCTGAAATGCATTCACAACCACATATTTGCCTGGCTTGCAATACTGGTTCCTAATTCATACCTTTTTCTCGCAAAATTGATACCCGGAGGGTAAGTTTTCATTAGGTATGCTATGAAAACGAACAACAGACCCGGACTCGTCTAGGTGCCTTAACGTACAACCCGCCCTGTACTTTTGGTTCCTGGTTCCATAGACCCGGGCTCTGGTTTTCTCTAGTTTTTTTTATAAAAAAAACAGAGTATAGATCCCGCATGCACTCACTGTTGCAAATTGTTGCAAAATTTGTGCATTGTGTGCATTGTGCATTGTGCAATGTTGCATTCACATTCATTGTTGCAAAAGTCATACCGTGCAAACTAATTCGCAATAGCTCTTTCACTTAAACCAGACTTTTGATCCTGGTGCCACTGGTTCTACTGTAAAAACACATTCATTCATCCTGGTTCCGGTAGGGTATTTTATAATTACTTGACTTCCTTGCATCCTGGTTGGAATTGGCTCTTCGGCATATGAAACGTCGCATTCTGGCTAGCGTCACAAATCTGAAAATATGAGCTCCGTTTCGAAGGCTTTCGGAAGATAAATGACATACTCTGCAAGAGGTTCTCTGGCCCATTGATGAATTCATGGCTATAGGCAGCGTCATGGTAAGGCTTTTCTTGTCAGACGCTTCGAAATCGGTACCGGAGAGCGCAGTCACAAGCCGTGGGAGTAAATTCTGCACCTCATGCAGTGGTGTAGGTGGGATAGCTCAGACCGATCATTTCGGCCCGCTATGGCTTTATGCCTCAATGTGGCTCTATCATTCGACTGGAGCCCGGGTTTTTGGCCGGATCTTCTGATTGCGCTTAACATATATATATATATATATATATATATATATATATATATATATATCGAAGCGTGATTAGTGACTCATTTGCTTCGGTTGGACACTGGATATTGCCGTCCTTTGTTCCATTGGCAACACTCTCATTCCACTCTAAATCATCCTTCCTGCTGTAGTTTCAGTGGTGTTTTTTAGTTCGACACTGCGTTGCACATAGGATCCAAAGGCTGTTTTTGTTGATGCTATCTTCGTGCGCCCGACCGAATATGTCGTTACGGTCAACAACCGGCAGAACGTCTTTCTTCCTAATTGTGCCTTAAGCTTTTTACCGGTCTCCTTGGCGATGCGGGGCGCCGCGCTGTCTGGCTGAAACCACGGCACGATTTCTCTCACTCTTTTCCATTTCAAGAGCAACTGTGGCTTTGTGAAGTGCCCCGGTGTACTGAGAAGATCCGACCTCGCGCCAGCTGCACAAAATTGGAGAGCCTGTCGCATTCAAGGCGCGAAACGACTGCCAGGAACAAAATGATGCATATATATATATATATATATATATATATATATATATATATATAAATTGCGATGAAAAACGACGCATCTTTGTAAAACTAGTGGTTTGGGACGCTATATTGTCTGAATTCGAGGCAGGAAAAGCTGATAACAAACGGAATACAATTTGCCGCATGATTTTCTGCAGGCGTAATGTCATTTCATTCAAGGTAACTTTATGAGAGGGGCAAATTTGGCTCCAAAGTCTTGATTTATCAACTATGTTTCGGTAATTGCATCTGGATGTTAAATGTTTTGAAATTGCAACAGTCAAATTATGATTACTAGCGATAATAAAGAGCAGGGTTCTGCTGTCTGCCGGATCCCGGCTCCCGTTAAATGCCCTGAAATGATTCCGGGCAGGATGCTGATTCTACTCCACCCACCCAACACATTCTGGTCACATCCTGACTTACGCTGCATCCATCGACATAAGACTGGCGTTTGGTTCTCGCTGCTTCTCTCGTATAAATCTAGGCTAGATCCTGGTTTCTTCTGGATCCCCTCGCATAATCCTGTACTGAATTCCGGTTCACGAGAGGTACTTCAGCGTCATTCCATGATGCATATTCAGCTCGTTCAGGAGCCATGGGCCAGTAACCGGCGCTGCCCGATGATAGATCACGGGAGCCAGGCACATCTTTGTCCTCAATATGTTTTGTTTTCCCCACTTTTAATGAGTTCACGCGTTCCTGACAGATCAATTGGCTCCGTGTACAGAACCACCAGCTCAGCCAGTTCCCTGACCAGTGGTGTGGCTGGGATCCCGTCCAGGAGGGGGCCAAATCGTGGCACGGGAGGCTCTTTCAGCCAACGAGTCGCTGCCAGAGCCCTTTCATCCAAGTCGTCGCTGTAAGAACCCTGGTTTGGGATTATTGGAACTTCTGTCGGGGATCCCATTTAACTGCCTCGAGGGCCCGTTTTGATATTTTTAAGTCCCGTGGGCATCCTCAACTGCCAAAAAAGACTCGAGTCTTCGGCTCGTAAAAGGCGCCAGCCACCTCTTTGGGGAGGGGGGGGGGGGCGCAACACGGTCACCAGGTCAGCAAGTTACGCAGACAACGAAGGGGAATCGGCATACCCGGGGGCAGCGACAGTAGGTCGGTCTGCCCCGAGGACAGGCCCCAAAGGTCACTCAGCCCTGAGCGCAGGAACAAGGGTTACGCTAGCCGCGAGAAGTGTGACAGGATTATCAGATTAAGCTGCTCTGCAGACGCGAATGATAGGTGACGGCAGCAGAGGTGACTTCACAGGATTTCACAGGACTGAGAGATGACTTCACAGGTGACGGCAGCAGAAAACAAGCTAGCAGTCTCCTGAATTGACAAGCAGGCAAGTCTGCTCTCCGCCTGGACAGAGGCAAACCCCACTGTTCTTTGGGTGAAACGCGCGGGAGAACATTACATCGCAATGTGGAAAGTGCGCGTGTCAGCTCGACTTCCAATAGCCGCACGAAGTATATATATATATATATATATATATATATATATATATATATACACATATACATATACATATACATATAAGCCAATAGCCGCATTCACCTGGCCTCCATCGGATATGAAGTCCGATGGGGGCCAGGTGATGAAAAAGTGCTTTCAACAATCACGGCTTTATTCAATCAAACTAGACCCAGAACACACTCAACACAAATTGGACAGATCTCATCCGTCTCGATCCGCCGCTATTGGCGGATCCGGCAGAACATCCTTTTGTGCATTGTTTTAGAACACCTAAATCAAGCCTCGCGTTTCACCAGGTCGGCGACAGTGCGGCCGCATCAGCGATGCAGCGTCGCAATTAAACTGGCATGCAGCACACCTGATCCCTGTATCCTAATGCATATGGTTGCTGCTACAAGCAGTGGTCCCGAGCGAACTGGCTACGGTGGTGCAGCATGCAGCGCTCGCCAATCAACAGCCCCTTCTCAGAGGCAGTCGCGAGTCAGCGATCAGGAGTTGCGCAGACTCTCTATCATCAGTCGAGACCGTCAGACTAAGTTGGCTTTCAAAGACAAATCAGCGTATGACGTACTGTCATTAAAAGTGCGAGTGAGTCTCAGCGGCATACCTAATGACCCCTTCTCGGAGCTGAACGGACCATAAAAATGACGATAATGGCGATTACGTGCTCTAAGAGATTGTATAGAGCGTGAATGTTGTAAAAACCAATTTGACTGTTTTCATCGTGCAGTTTGCGGTGATATGGTACTACCAAATGCGGATAACACTTGATTCGCACACAAAAGTGGACCCAACGCGACCTGGCCTGACACGATCCACCCTGATCTGACATCACCAACGAGGCCTGACATATTGGAGATGGACAGATGCATGACAAGCATAGGCTGAAACTAGAATGTAGATAATGACACTAAAAAAGTTCAAATTAGTGGCCATACATTTGGGGACAGAATCAGCGCCTACAAACTAGGAAAATGCACGTCATGGACCGTGCGCGGAGTGGTTCGTGTCCGAACACATGTAGATGTGAAATTTAGCGTAAACGTGTTGTAAACGCTTTTCCCAACAAAGAGGCTATTGGGAACGTTTCGTGACATTATGATAGCAAAGGTGATGTATGACATTAGGAACGTTGTTTGTCCTCTGGCGCAAAGAACAGTTTCTAACCGGCCCAAATTGCGAACGACTGGGATAATGATTACTTTATGTTTCTTTTCCGCCGAAGCGTTGTGGACTAAAACACTGCCAGAATGAAACGCATCACTGCATATTCACCTCCGTCAGAGGCCCTGCTAGGGGCCATAACTTCGAAGAATTGCCACCCGGCAGAAACGGCTGACATCAGCATCATATCAATGACGAGCACTTTCTCTCTCCTCTCAAATTTCGTTTCGTTTCGCTCCGTTCTGAGCAGCGCATTTCATTCAAAGTTGTTTTTGGGTAGGGCCACTGCGTTTGCAGCCCAACAGCCATGCACATCGCGTCAAAGAGGAGTATAACTCGCGGCGAGCGCCAGTTAACAGACGTCTGATCGCTGTGCCTTCCGATCGATTACGGCGGATCGTTACTTAGCCGACCGCGCACACGTTCGCAGCTGGCAGTCTTCCATCGTGCGCTGTAAGAGGCTTCGCAAATCAAGGCTCCAAAGCCATGGAGGTCTGCATGCGACGCCAGATCCGTTCTCGCCGCTGCCAATGACGGTCACGCTTACGAAAAATCAGATCAGAAAGATCACCAAGTGGTGCACTGCCAGGAGTCCGCTGGGTCGGTTGTGAACTTCCCCGTTCGTTACACCCTTCATCACCGACGTCACATGGATCCTACGTCATTCGACTGACGTAGGGCCTATTACTTACAACAATAGGGAACACTGCTCTCTCCAGATCGTTCAGTAACGCTAGGACCACTGCTCTGTATCTGAGACCTCGAACTACAGACACCACCATTCGTGCGGTAATGCCGCATTGTCCACATCCTTTGCGGACAGCGTGGCTGAGGATAAGTGCGGCCGTCCCAGTCAATGACTGCATGATTGCCCTGTGCGCAGAGCATGTCACATACCAGCACGGAACCCTACGCAGCCAATTTGGCTATGCTATGGCATCGCGCTCACGATACGCTAAGCACATCGTGAGCTTCCGACACTGAGCACCGCGTGCGAGCGCCGGCCGCCGGGGGTCTCTGGCATGCGTGGGCACCGCGGGTCGCCAACTGTGCTCACGGCTCAGCACGACGGTACATCGAAGCCCCCAGAGGCGGATCATGGTTCGATACTTAGGAGAATCACGGCCGCGAAGACCCCCTCGAGACTTGGATGGGCGGGACGCTGTGACCGCCAGAGGCCCCACCCGGCTTCCTCTCGTCCCCCTCTCGGTCATACAGCGCAGCCGAGAGCCCGCTCCGCAGGTTCGCCCGCTCTCATATGAGACTGCAGCGGTGCTGTCAACAGGCGGCCGCGCGATAACGCCCGTGTCATGGACGGCCGTCTGTACACCGGCGTCGGCGATATAGGATAGGAGGGCAGCCGCCACCCGACTGATTGTCATCTGATAACGCCGCGTATTCCTGTAAACGTGCATCAGCTACGGCGAGCTGTCACACTGCGTTACAGGTGACATCGTGCCACGGCGCTCCCAGGCAGCACCCGCCTCCTGGTGAAGCTCATGGGGTAGGCGGCAATGTGGTTCTGAATTGGTTCGGCTTTAGTTTGCCTCATCAATCGCAAGTGGCACTGGGTGTTCGTTTTTGATAGTTACGATACCAGGCGATGGTTTATTGCTCCTCCTGGCTGCAGCGTAGAGCGGCGACAGTCCCAGGTCATTTCCGGACACCGCCCGCTTATTTTGGAGACGTCTCGGTTAGTCTCACCTATGCTCCAGAGTCCAGTCGAACTGTTCATTCTCATTTGCCGTTGAGAGCGCCTCCCGATGGAGGGCTGGATAATAGAGAGCGCCTCCCGATGCATGGCTGGATGTTGAAGAGCGCCTCCCGATACATGGATGGGTGTTAGGGAGCGCCTCCCGATGTATGGATGGATGTTAGAGAGCGCCTCCCGATGCATGGCTGGATGTTGAAGAGCGCCTCCCGATGTATGGATGGGTGTTAGAGAGCGCCTCCCGATGCATGGCTGGATGTTGAAGAGCGCCTCCCGATACATGGATGGGTGTTAGAGAGCGCCTCCCGATGTATGGATGGATGTTAGAGAGCGCCTCCCGATGCATGGCCTGGATGTTTGAAAGAGCGCCTCCCGATACATGGATGGGTGTTTAGAGAGCGCCCTCCCGATGTATGGATGGATGTTAGAGAGCGCCTCCCGATGCATGGCTGGATGTTGAAGAGCCGCCTCCCGATACATGGATGGGTGTTAGAGAGCGCCTCCGATGCTAATGGATGGATTGTTAGGAGGCGCCTCCTGCTCATGATGGATTAAGGGCGCCTCTCGAGGTATCTATATATATATATATATAGATATTATATATATATATATATATATATATATCTATATATATATTGCATTACTCTCTATCCCTCTCTCCCTCTCTTCTTTCTTTCCTCTCTCCTCCCTCTCTCTCTCTCGTCCTCTCTTTCTCTCTCTCTCTCTCTCTTCTCTCTCTCTCTCTCTCTCTCTCTCTCTCTCTCTCTCTCTCTCTCTCTATCTCTCTCTCTTCTCTATCCTATCTCCTCTCTCTCTCTCTCTTCCTCTTCTCTCTCTCTCTCTCTCTCTCTCTCTCTCTCTCTCTCTCTCTCGGGTATTTCGAGTATTTCGGGAGTAGGGTTTAAAAACAAGCTATCTTGCCTCAAGACTGACGAACTATGTATGATGTTTGTTGGCCGCTTGGGTTTGGTTTTTCTTGGCCACTATCTAATAAGAAATGGGGATATGCCAGCCAACTTTAACGTTAGCTCATTAATTGGAGCGGGAAAGCGGTTGGCTCTGATCGCCACACAACGCAAGTCGTCGGATATCTGGTGAAGTCCACGCCACGATCCACGGGAGTCTGGCGCCGTGAGGTACTCATAGACTTGGTCTGTCACTGTTGGCGCCGAGGTGGGTTCGTCCAGCCGCGATATAGAGGCTTGGGTAGCGTGTCATAGATGTGTTGAATACTCATATGGAACGCCACATTCAACTGTGTTACAAATTCTGTTCGTGTTGTGGGTGCTCACATAGAGCAAATGGGTAGATGCAAGGCTCCCCTGCACTCTTGGTTCCATTTTTTCACAAATCCAGGCGAGTGCGCATAGACTGAAAACACCAAGTCCTTGCAGATCTGACGCTTATAGCTTTGAAGCTTTGGCCCTGACTCGGCAATTGACTTTGTCAAATAATATTGTTGCCAGGCACCCAATCTGAGCGAGGTGGGTCTGTGGATTCGCTGTTCGTAACTGACCTTTAAATGTCATTATTTGCCGCGGGCCGAATTGGTGTTGCGGTGTTTGTGTTCCTACTACACAGATAGATTCCATGATCCAACCTGCCAGCTGTCACCGGATGTCCGTTCGGCAGGTCGTACGTTTCACTAGCGTTCCTCGTCTAATCCGGTTCCTCATCCTCATTCTGACCTCCATCGGCAACACTTTCCTCACCTCGTCAGTGTGTTTATGACAAAATTTGCTCCGTTTCATTGCGCTTCTGACCTGTTCAGAGTGATACTTGATACGAAAGCAGGGAAGGCCTGAATTATGAGTTTTAGCCTGACAATAAGTGACTAGGGCAATCTTGGCCTGACAGCATACTCCTGAGCCGATGAGATAGTCTATGCCAGACCAGAGTGTTTGTGACACGACATGGTCTTCGTTGAAAATCGTCGCTGACCTGACCCGGTCCCGGTTACAGCGTGATGCGGACCCGACTCTGTTCCGATTGCAGCGCGTTCCTGATCTCGCTGGCGGTGGCTGACCTGCTGCTGCTGCTGCTCTGCGTGCCGCTCAATACGGCCGAGTACTTCCTGGTGACGTGGGGAGGCGAGGGCACCGTTTGCCGGCTGGCCTCCTATGTCGAGATGCTCTCTCTGGTCGCCTCCGTCCTCAACCTCACCGCCGTCAGCTTCGAGAGGTGAGAACGGGGGAAGACCGCTGACTGGGCTTTGCAAGAGAGGGCCAACTGTTCTGCGAGGAATGTATTCGCAGGAACACTGGTAAGGACACCCTAGAAATGTCGTGTGGCCAATGCACCTGTTAATCTCAGATTTGTATCAGCATGGCAATGTCAGGCAACTGCATTGTGAGCAAGGACCATTACTGCAATTGCTATATTGCACATTCGTAGCATATCGGTGGATGCATTGCGCGTCCCCTTGTATCGTCCAGGTGATCTTGGGCGTGCACCAGCCCTCCTTCACCGGGCCTTGTGCACCAGCCCTGCTGTGCCAGTCTGCCTCAGCGTCACGCCAGACCCGCGGAATGTGACGTCACCCCTCCGCCAGGTACCTGGTGGTCGTGTACCCGATATGGTCCCGGTCGCTGACGTCACCCCTCCGCCAGGTACCTGGTGGTCGTGTACCCGATGTGGTCCCGGTCGCTGACGTCACCCCTCCGCCAGGTACCTGGTGGTCGTGTACCCGATGCGGTCCCGGTCGCTGTGCACCCTGCGGAACTGCCGGAAGGCGCTGGTCGTCGTCTGGGTGCTGTCGCTGCTCCTCACCGTTCCCGTGCTCTTCTCAAGGGTGAGTGCGGCGACGGCGGCTGACCTGAGACTCAGAGATCTGGCATGGTGGGAACTGGGAGGCTTATGCCTGCAAGGTTCTTTATCGAGATCTGCTCAGAAACAACTGATAAAGCGTCACCTTCGGACAGAAGCTTGCCTGGATACCCAGTTTACAGGCATTTTTATATCATTATTGTTCACTTGATTACCTTTTAGAGCCTTAATGAAGGACACGCCTCTCGAAATATCGGGATATAGTTGCGTGGCCTGCATAACAAGCGAGAAAATCAGGACGTTAAATGTCGGAGACTTAATTCGTACATTGTACATTTTCGTGTGTTTATCTAGTCTCATTACAATCATCACAGCCACAGACACTAGCCAAGGAGCTGCGCGTCACCGATCAATATGATGGCTTAGTGGCTGGAATTGTTCTCATTTGGCCTTTATCAGCAGAAATCGTTTTTGTCTATCCAATAATTCCACCCAAATCGTTTCTGAGTTTTAAGCTGCCCCGAGGATAGTGGGTGTTCGGCACAGGAACCTCACAGGTGTTAGGGAGTCGACAAGGCCTCCACTGTTCGTTACTCCGATAAGCCTCTGGCCTTTTTCACTCGTAGGGGAGGTTCGAAGATGTTTGTTCGACAAAGAGTGTCTTTAAATAGACCGAGCTGACGCGTTCAACATTCACCCCGATTCTCTGTTTTTCACAACGATAACTGACAAGGTTCGTGACCCCGTGCCATTTTTAAATAACAAACGATAGATCCTCATAAGAAATGACTGGATGAGTCTGAGAAAAATCTCGCGACTAGTCACATATTTGTGTGCCTTTTGTCCGATAATTGGCCGCATTATGCGAAGTCAGATGATAATCTTCCCCTGAAAAACGCACTCAAAATTTATCAAGCATAGATTAACGAAGCTATTCAATGTACCAACATTGAACAGCACTCTGTCATGTTTCTTGTGCTGTTTTTTGAACATTTTCTGGTATTTTACATCACGTGTGATGTAAGGGTTCCGTGAATGTAAGAATGTCATATCTGCCGAGAATGGTGAACGGATTCTACAGCTGTCAAACGCCGCTCAGCTGCGGCGTCGTGCAGGATCATAAATTGGGCGTAGAACGTCGACAGGCGCCACCAAATACAGATTCAAATGCCGCTTCACGAGAGTGTTCTATATTACTACTATCATGTGGAAAAGGCTGCCTAAAATAGTAAAACCACAATTACCGTAATCGATCCAAATAGAGGGTAACTCTGCCCTTTCGCCCACACCGGCCAAAGATTTGTCATGCAGTGTTCCTAAAAAAATGTGTCTACCCAAAAACCAGAAAAGATAGGCATGCTTTTTTATTTAAACACGCACAACAAATGCCTCGGAGGTCTGCTGAAAATTTGTGTGCGGTAGCACGACACGCGCGGCAGGTACCTGCAAAGATCGTATGTGCGACTGTCATCTACTGTCGACATATTTTGGCTGTCATCTCGAATCCGGTCTATGCTTGTATCACGCCATTATACTCTGTCGAAGCGCCATTTTCTGGCAATTGCGCTTTAGATTTGCGTCGCCCGGTCTTCAGCGGCCAAGAGCTCAGACCGCTCCGAGCCCGGAGGGACGACACTCAAGGGAAAAGGATAAGCCGGCTCCTGCGCAAAGAGATTTCACCAAAGTGGTCGTGGTCGCCATTAAGGGCGGCTGGTACGCCCTCGCTCGGCGAAAGCCTCGCGCTGTGGGCTCCATCGCATGGCGAACAGCGCCCCTGCGGGCGTCGTGCGATTAAGAGCTCCACCGCGAATGCATACTGAGGCGGCGGGCGTGGGTGGCACCTTCGTCGCCCGTCAGTGTTATCAGGCGCGCTGTCCCAGCCAGCGGCCGGTCGGGTCACCATGGCCCACTATCTGAACACGTGGCCGTCTGGGGCATTTTCGCAACCATTGGGCTAACCGTGTCAAACGATTAGTCATAAGCCATGAATGATGTGGTGATGTCGAACAACATGAAGGTGGAACTCTTTATTTCATTTCCCTCGCACAGACAACGACTGCAAGTGACCTCAGTTTTGACGGAAGAAGACAACCGCTTCTTTCCCCCGCTATTTCAGAACAGGGTAGAGCTAGAGAAGCATGACGCACCGTAAGGTAGCGCATGCAATTTTGAAGAATGTTTATATAACCCACTTGTATATGGCGTGCAGCGTTTTGCGCTCAAACTCCATTGATTGGCAGATGTTGCAAATGTTAATGAAGTCAGAAATAGATTGGAAGCCCCTGTGGAGGCGGAATAGCCAGAACGACGCCTTTTTACAACCGAGATATTACTATTCACAGGGACATTCATTGATTTCGTCCCTTCACGAAAGAGATGGTTCATTACATGTCGTATTCGTGCTGGCAGTTACTCCTCTAGCGAAAAGCTGGCGTGCAGCAAAATGGGAGCTCAACCTACAAGCGTCTCGTGGTTTTTTCGCTAACACTTCTTTACTCCCGAAAAAAGTTTGGAACGAACGGACACAGCGGCCTCACGCTTCCCTTACCGTTCCATGAGCACCCAACAAAAACTATCAAGAGAGAAGGATCGAAACTAATCAAGGTCACGTCACGATTCCACTTTAAGTTTAATCGATGGTATTCCACTTGTCGTTTCCTGCGCTGCGTGTTCTAGGGTGTTACCAACAGATCAAAATACACTGACAGGTCAGCGTAAATGCAGAGGATTCAGAAACCCACTTCACTTTGCCTTGTCTGTGCTATGTCGCAGAGTAGATGACCTCACTGCTCAATTAAATAGTTGTACATATATGGCTGCTACTTCAGTAAAGCATACGAGCATCAAGCTTTGCACCATCCCAAGTATGGCGTGATCATTTTGTTCATTAAATTCATAAATTTCATGATCATCATTTTGTTCATAAATTGTTCATCAAATTACACAAATGCGCACGTTTTTTCCCAGTACGAAGTCTTAGATAAATTATGCCGACTCCATACGGCAATATGATCTGTATATATATATATATATATATATATATATATATATGTATATATATATATGTGCATATATATATATACATGTATACACATATACGTCTGTAAGTAAGGGTACTGGCGATGTACGTGCCACCAGTGCGCCTCGGTTACTATCACACAAGCAGTGAAGGCGGGCTAGCTTGCTGGTTGGCTACATTGAGGCCGGTGAGCAGTTTTTGCACTGTGTGACATTATAGCATGCCTGCTGTAATTGCTCGGCGCTCATACCGCCTGTCCGGGAGCCTGACACGGCCACGTGCGCCGATGCAAAGCCGCCTCGGATCTCCGCCGACTGTCGGTGCCTGGCGGGCAACGTTCACGGAATCACGTCAGGCGCCGGTTCAGGAGCCGACACATGCTGCACGATTTGCCGGCGAACTCATTGTCGGGACGCAGCTGGCGCGCGTCAGGCCCAGGCGCCTCGCCGGCTAGAGGCTGGACACGAGGGCACAATCGTGTCCGCGCCAGAGGCCGCCGCCCCGCCTGCCGCTGGCAGCCAGTGGTGATTTGAGAAAACTTCACCGAGACAGTTTACCGGGCGCTGAATAATTGTTTGACATTGCGTACCGGGCGAGGTCGTTGCTGCATGCGAAGTTCGCGGTATTGCTAGTCCCGTGCATTAGCGAACGGAAGTCTTCGCAAAGCCTTCTTTAGCGACAGCGCTGAGCGCTGAGTACGTATATGTCTATTGAACCAGAAGTTCCAGGGATTGATTGACCAGAACTTCGGACGCAACGGAGATGAAACAACTTATGTGATGTCTGAAATGTACAAAAAGGTTTTTTGGAAAACAAATTCAATAGGTATCTGCTGGACTAGCCGGGTTGCGTCTCAATTCTGGTGTAAGAGAGACAAGCCTTCAGCCCATGGTTTCTCGGCATTTTGAGTTCAAAGCTTCCATGCTATAGTTAATGACCTTCAATATATCAGTATATGTTGGTTAAACGACGTCGTGGAGCTAATAAACGATTACATTGACGGTACTCAACATTTCGAGCTGTAGTCATCCTAGAGAGTGAAAGGGTTCGGAGAAGTTCAGCAAAATATTGCCCTTCAAAAATAAACAAGGCATCCGGACTCCAAATTCTCCAAATACAGTAAGACGTTAAAAACTACAAAAAACACACACGAATGGCTAAGCTGGAAGTTCATAATGTCTGGCACAAAGTGTTAGACACAAACATTTCTTACCGCGATCATCACCCAACATGAGCATTGCCTGGACCTGAGGAAAATGCATAACCCAACAATATTCAAGCCTGGTCCCATGATGAAGTCCATGTGTTCAGCTCAAGGCAAATATTCGGAATGAGCAGTGGATCTCAAATCTTGGGGTCCACATTGCCTTAATCGTTCCTAAAATGTATATTTAAAGTTGGCATTTGTTACGCTATGCCCCATTGCTGCGTTTATATATGCCATGTGCTCTCCTAGCGGTGCCTACGCTTTCCGTAAACATCCGTCTGCAAGATACTGATTAAACCGATCACGAATGCCACGCTTTGTTCCTACTACATTAAATATCCGTGGACCCAGGTCGCAAAGGTTGAAAGATGTCTTGCATGCTGCGTTCTTCCGCGTGCATTTATGTTTCAGTCCAGCCACACATGCATGAGAAGTCTTACCCTCAGCTGGACACATTGGGGTCTCTATCACTGATCGTGCTAGCATGGAATATAAACCATGACTACCAGTCCACGCTGCCTTGAGGCAGCGCGTACCACTCAATCGCATGGCGGCATGAACTTGTTTGCGCAGCTAGTCGTTTGTAAAAGGGAGTTTCGCAAAGACCTAATTTGTTTGCTTAGCCCTTTCACAATTTTTACGCAACCCTGGTGTAGCGTGAAATCATGCGCGCGTGGCACAAGCAGCAGACCTCCCTGTGCTCTGGTTAGCCATCGTCATTGGTAAACAGGGACATTTTAGTTAGGCCACACTCACATGATTGTGATGATACCCGCAATGCTCTCCGCACCTGGAAGATAAGAACCGCTTTCTTAGAGGCCATGGGGAAGCCAAATTGCTCAGGTTGTAAACGTCGCATGACACCTTGAACTCCACATGCGTCTCAATGATCAGACATTTTCTTTTGCGTCTCCTTGAAAACGAGTGCCAATCGTTTGGATTTCGACTTGACCGATTTAGTTTTGCCTGTCGGTCTGTAGGTTGATGGTGACGGGCCTCGAGCTTCAGCCAGTCGAAATCGATGGTGTTCACCGTGACACTTGCCGTTCAGCAATGTTTCCGGCAGCTTATCCCGCCATTAAACATGCATTACAGCCGGCTCCGAAGGTCGTCGGGGCGCGTTGAAGCGACAAACACGTGCTCGTTCCCAGACGCCGGCTTCGTTTTATCGGTGGAGTGACTGGGTCCCCGTGGGAAACGCGAATCTATGCCGAGGTTTGGATAGAGTGGCCATGCAGTACTGTTGGAGACGCGGCCACAGCCAAGCACTCAAAGCTGAGGCTCGCTGAAAGCTCCGTAAGCTCAAATTAGTATTCGTGACATCTGGAACGCGTCCATCTGTGTTAATATTATGGGGATGTAATGTAGCTGCCCAGAAGACAAAACCTTGTCGCCATGCCGCGGCGACGATGCTCAGATGTATTCTGCTGCATGCGTGCGACCCATGGGCGCGCAAGGTGAGACGTCGTCGCCTTGTTCACAGAGGAGCTACCCGTACACGTACTACAACAACGAGACGTCACTCACCCTGTACAAATGTGACGACGTGACCTCCGGCAACCTACACCTGCTGTTGGCCGTTTACCAGCTCGTCATCACCTTCGTCATCCCGCTGATCCTCATGTCCTTCTTTTACACCTGCGTCATCCGCGTGCTGTGGACGTCCACCAAGACCATCTCGGAACTCACCACCAGCTACAGGTGAGCGACGGTCGGTTCACTGGCGTCCCGGCGACCCCAGCGCCATTCCCCTCTCGGGCACCGCGGCCGCTGACTGCACCTGGTGTCGGCCGACACGACGGCTTTCCAATTTTCCTCACTGCCCACTTATCCCCTACTCGCTGCAAGCCGGCACAAGCCGGCGACGCCGCCTCTAGGTATTTTTCAACAGCCGAGATAATCTCACGTGCCGTTTTTCGGTTATTGTCTTGCGCTTCACAGGAAAGTCGCCGTTGATGTTTTAAGCTTTGCATGCATGCTGATGGGTATTGTTCTTGACGAGGTTTTCTCGTGTAGCTGGAGCCTTTCCATGAGCCAGAAATGCTATATGGAACAACGGAATCCAAGTGAAGACGGCTGGTTGATGTGAAGCGTCAGCGCGGTGTACAACCCTTTCATCGTCGAGGACTTAGTCACGTTTTGATTTCTCAGACAAGAATACTACGACCAACACTAAGACTTTGGGTTGGTTTCGAGGTGCAACGTTTTGGCCCAGAGTCACACTGAAAGGACTTTGCACATGATGACAACTGTCACCTTCCACTTCTAGTACATCTCCCTTCTATCCTCGTGTGGGGTTGTTGGGGTATGAGGCGTCCCTGAGATCGAACGCCGTCTTCAGTGTCTGATCATTTCAAACAGAACTGCTCGTAAATGTCGGCACAAACTTTTTTGTAACGGTTTTTGATTCCGTTATTAACAATTTGGTTTGTAGTTCAGCATGGGAATGTGGTGCGTGCAGTGAGTGTTTAAGCTATATCCTGTTAACTTGCCTGACGCTTATTGTGCCATAGACCTCACGGTTGCCGTTTCAGTAGAAAACAAATTGCGTAGCAGAGAAATATCGTTAAGAAATATCGTTGAGAAATATCGTCGCTAAGAAATATCGCTTAACTGAGGCTCCAGTGAATTTTCTGCTACGCATTTCTTACCTTAGTCATAGAGATGTGGTAAAGTAGTCTCCTTACGCTGGTTGAGCTACCACTTTCAAGTCTAGAGCCTGATGAATGTGGAACTGTGTAAGACTTGTTACGGATATAGGTATGGCGCACACTCATGGTAATAGCGCATGCCTATCCCTCTGTTTGCGAAAAGTCGAGCACATCGAGTAATTTAAACCCATGAGGCGCTTTTCGCTCTAAGTGGTGACATGGACTTCAGATTGATAGGTAATCAGGGACGCCTCCAATCCACATTGCTCTACAATAAATTGCAACACTTGCAGGAAGGCTGATGTTTGACTAGTGTGCTCGATTTCCGCCGGCCGTGGGACTTATGTGCTCGATTTCCGTTGGCCATGGATCACTATGCAGTGCTATAAAAAATGACCCTTCTCACAATCCCAGAAATGATAGAAATACGTTTTTGGTGTCAAAACATGTGCAATGAAGGCTCCAGAGGTTTCCTAAAATTCGGGCGCAATGGTACGACAAGCCGGAGTGGTATCTTCATAAAAGCTCAAGGCGGGGGGGGGGGGGGGGGGCACATCGATCTCCGATCAGGGCCAGGGTTGTTGTGTCACGGAAGTCAGACTGCGGAGGTCATGATCTTTTCGAGGTCAGTGGATGCGTTTCACTACAGAACTGCGAGTAAAGAGAGCACGAAAGCCAGAAACCCAGCGAAGCCGTGTTGCAAAAAAACCAATAAGCTGATTGATCAATAAATGAGTTTATGTATGTCAGGCCAATATTTAAGTCACTAAATTCCTGTGCTTTTGAGGTCCAAAAACAAAGTGTATTGCGTGTATGTGCAAATATATCGTAGACAAAAAGTAGATATTTCTTAATTTTGTGTATCAAAAGCAGAACCTATGATGTTATATAGCATTTCCGAGATCAACATGCGCTGTTTCGGCGCCAGATAGATATCATGGCAATGCCCCATGCAATATATGACACCAGAAGTTGTTGAAAGTGTTCTTCCACCACATGGCTTCTCCTTGGGTGCTGAGCATGTTTGCATACGTTTTGAAATTTGCCTATGTTTTTCCTTATTTCGACCTTAACCGTCATAATGCAAGGTCAGACAATGACAAAAGCTTTCAGATTTCAGATGCATGAGAACGTTACGTCAAACCATTCTGATATGGAAATCATTTGAGAGGTCCCGTCGTGCTGAACTCGATGCAGTGCTTCGTTTACGCATTCGACGCCAAATATACGAAAACATGTCATAAAGCTCAAACATTGTTGTGCCGCATAGAGCTGCAACATAGCCAGTCTGAGCGACGGGTGCGTAAGTCGCGGCCTTTGACTGGTAAGATGGACGATGTGCTCTTTGTATGGTATAGGTGCAAAAGTATAAATACTGTTGTGGCCAAAGCTAATATGTATCAAACCACGCACAACCGTGTTCTGGATTCACTTCAATATTCTCTCGATTTAACCATCAGCACCCGTGGAAGATCGAGCGCAAATATTTCGTTCTCGTTTCTCTCAGCCATCCTCCTGGATAGTTCCCACGAACGAGGATATTTCTGCGATAATGCCAGAATCTCTGCTGTTGCTGATGGACGGCAGCTCCCTAGAATGCTTGCATTATCTCCTCGATTAACTGTCTGTGTCTGGAAACCTTTCCAAAAATTGTGATGCACATAAGTCATCGCACAAACCGTTGCATAGCACACCATTAATATTGATAGCAGTGCGCGATCGGAATTTTGTTCGTGATTTACTCCATTCCGAGAGAGGGGATTTATGCTCCTCTTCATCAGGTGTATCGGAGGTCACCGCCAAACGGCTTGAGGCGTCGCGTTCAAAATTGATATATTATCGCAACTATTCATTACGTATGTTCTTAACACCGCATCATCCACACCCTTCGCCAGGTCATGGTAGACGTTGAAATTTGTTTATCACAACAACCGATATTTTAGTGTCCTGCAAAATAAATAAGATATTCCGTATCCCATAGTGCGGTAAAGCCCACTATAAACATATTCTCAGTTACACGGACGCCTTTTGCGTATGTGCTCTGATACCGGTGGTGAAAGTCGAATTGATAGGATGTATGTGTATTGGGTCCTTCTCAGGATTTCCTCCCTTAAAAAAGTGTTTCGTAACCCAGTTCAAGCCGCTTCGCTTCCGGTAAACTTGGCAATTAGTCACACATTAAACGGAGTGTTCCACATTTATATGGAGTTTTGAATTGAAATAGCCATCTTGAAGACCTTTTGGTGCTGTTCACTATCCTTCCATTCTTAAGACCTAAGCCCCCCCCCCCCCTAGTTTCTGAGCTACACGCCAGCGAAAATGGGGAAAGATGTATCGGAGAGCGTTTTTCAAAGTCACCTCGGCATTCGTGACGTCATAATAACGCCATTCGAATCCTGCCACTCCATAAGCCATGCGGTGATCAAGACCAAGAAAAATCTGATTGTCGAAGCGTTAATATCTGGCGTTCGTGAGAGCTATTTCCAGGTATAGCTGTCGTCAATAGGCTCTCAATCAATGTGATGCAAGGTATGATGACGTAATCAAACCATGACGCATTGAGAAGCATCTTTACCGAACAGAACATTGTGCCGTCTGGGGTAGTCTTTTCCACTTCAAAGTATCTTAATAACTAGAAGTGAGCTTGTTTCACCATACCTGATGCTTGCCTCAATATCTTCAAACGTGGAAAATTTGTTTTAAATGCAAGTTAGCTGTGAAATCAAGTAAGTCATCGTCATAAGCATAGCGCACATTCGCACAAAACCAGACATACATATTAGGGCCAGAGCGGGGGGTGTGTCATATGTATCGTTAAACACTATCAAAAAGTGGCAACATCGAGCTTCATGGGAAAAGAGGTGGCCTGGACACAAGGCATGCATGACGTCATATATACCATATTTTATAACATCAGTGGCATGGAAGCCTCCCAATTAGCCAGCTGACCGCTACACAACCGATTAGCTTGAATGGTGAGTATGTTTTGGTGGCGTGCGGCTGGCGCTTCCCGGTTGGACTCTGAATGAATGGTCAACGGTTTTGTCATGCGAACACAATTATGGAAGGGAGATGGAATGTCGGAACAGTTTAGCCTGATCATAATTTTATATTTTTCGTGGCGTATACATAAATAGGGGCTAAACGTCATGCGGCGTGTGTAGCGCATCGCGTATCGCGGTTGCTAGGCGTTTCATAACAGTGGGTTGCGATCAGTTGCCATTACTACGCCTTGTACGAGAGATCTCCTGTGCAGTTTGCTTTGAACGATTGGTAGCATTGAAAATGTTCGACCTGTGAATATCTTATTATGCATATGTGTGCAGATCCTAAAGTACAAAACACTGTTGACTGTAGCATCATACGGCCCACGTCATGTGGTTGCACTGTACATACCTCACTGTGATACAAGAGTGGGAGCTATTACAAATCAATATTGCAAATGATCATATAACCATACCTATAGACAGAGCAGATTTTGCAAGTTTAGCTGTTCAACTCCGCCACCAGGCACAAAGGGGCTATTTAACGACAAGCCAGTCTTGGACAAGCCTGATCCTGGAATGCAATACATCACAAACGCCGCACGACACATAACCCCGTGCTATATCATCATGCATGCAAAAATTGTACATTCTGGTGAGGCCAAACTGTTCCAGGATTCAGTGTTCATTCCAGAAATGTGTGCGAATAGCGAAATGACGGATGATTTTTTCTCAGTCCAACCGGGAACCGCCACCCGCACGCCACCAAAGCATACTATTCAAACTAATGGATTGTGTAGCAGTCAGCTGGCTAACTGAGTAGCTTCCGTGCCACTGACGTCATCAAATATGGTGTACTTGACGTCATGCAGGCTTTGCTTCCAAATTACGTCTTTTCTCAGGCAAGCTCAATGTTGCCACTTTTTCCGACCTGACGGTTCTAACTCGCTAGATAGCCTTGGACCAGAGCAATCCCATGTCCGGAGGTTGTAGAAAAAGGAACTTCAGATACATATCACTGAATATATGGATAATAATGCAGGAGCTATAAATTCGAGCAAATACG